TTCGTAGTTTAGTTACGTTCCTTACTTTTACTTTTACTTACTTAGTTGTTGTAGTTACGTACTAGTGGTGTCGTACACTACGAACGAACGTACGACACTAGATCTCTCTCTCTCTCTCTCTCTCTCTCTCTCCCTCCCTCTCTCTCTCTCTCTCTCTCCCCCTCTAGATTTGTGAAATGCAGGCTCTCTCTCGCTCTCTCTAATTGTGAAATGCAGGCTCCCTCTCTCTCTAATTGTGAAATGCAGGCTCTCTCTCTCTCTCCTCTCTGTCTCTCTCATGGTAATGCACTAGAGGACAGCTCATTTGGGTTCTTTAATTACTAGTCTCTTTGGAGATGAACCTATTTTCTACAATATTTGCTCATGCCCTTCTCGCCTGATGATACATAGAAGAAGGATTGGAAGTGTAAATGTTATGAAGATACACACGATTGAAGTGTAGTCTTTGACTAAATATATAATCCACACACATTTGAAGTGGTCCGATAAAATAATATAACATACTCTAATGCATAATACAACACTTAGTAAAGCAAGGATATGACTTGTTATTTTACTATTTTATGATTTACGAAAGGGTATGGTTTGTATAAGGTTGCAACTTTAAACAAACGAATTGAAGCGTACTTCCAAATTTTGTTGTAGATATGATTTTGGTGTCCAAAATTTTTGAGATGGCTTGAGAATCTATTTTCATCTTTAAATGTAAAATTTTAAATTAAAAAAATGGTTCAAATTAAGTAGATTTATATACACTTGAAAATTTTAAAATGGATGGTTTAGATAATTTGTTGCAAGATACACTATTTTAGGACTTGAATTTTTTTTTTCTTTTCATATTCATAAATCTGGATATCGAAAACATCAATTAAAACAACTTTTTATAAAATCTAGTTCCATGTATTTTCCTAAGAGAATAAGATTTTGGCCCCACAGGAACAAATTGTGCACTCAACCCTTGAGGAAAAACCTTAGACCCAAATTCACTGAAAGTTTGAATAAGCATTCCAAAATTTTGGACGGAAAAAAGTGAGCCCCATGATTGAGCACAAATCGAGCACAAACTTTAGGAGAAAACTTAGATCCAAATTTAAAGAAAATTTTAAGGGGCATTCTAAAATTTTGGAGGAGAAAAAGGAATCAAGCTCTAGGATCGAGCACAAATTAAATATGGACTATCTGCTTCTTTTTGGATTAGTTAGATTTAAGTTTTTAAGAACTCAAAATGTCTTCTATATTTTTATTTGAAAATTTGTTTTCAAGGAAACTAAGGTGCCTCCTAAAATTTTAGGCAAAAAAATCCTAACAAATTTGCTCCCATGGGAAGGTATGAGTTTGGAACCACTTGGGTATGTGGATCGAAATCCAGACTCACACCCTTCCAAGTGGAGTCCGGACTGGCTTATCTGAGTCAAGACCCAACCCAATATATTTGTGTGTGTATGTGGAGGTTATTTTATACTACCCTGCTTTGATGGTGAAATGAGAATTTCCCACTTCATTCCAAGGGCGAAATTGGAATTTTCTTGAGCAAATTAACACATCTATTGTCTATTTACATTTGAAGGCAGACACTGTGCCTGAATTTTAACGTTTTTTAATGTGACTTTAATTATCTACTTACAACAAAAGATGGATTATCATTTTTTTTTTCACAATACATATGAGTGTTATCAAGATTGGACTGACCACTAAACTGTTGAGGCTTTTGGTCAAATCAAAATTGGTTCAATCACCAGTCAAACCAGTTATACAGATTTTTTTTAAAAAAATGAAAGAAAGTTCGTTATAATAGTTTAAAAATGTAAAATATATTAAGAAGCATTTTTCAACTTTATTTAATTGGTCAAATAGGTAAAAAACCGCTCGTTTGACTGATCAAACATTGGTTTTGACCATTATTCAACCAAACCCAATTTTATTTTGGACTATACAAAGGCAACGGTCAATAGGGACCACAAGTTAGGTCAGGTCTTGATAACTCTCGAGGTCAAAATGATCAATTGGAGTGTTTTTCCATCAACCTTTTCTAGAGTATTATTTTTTGGTTTGCCTTGCTTCTATAGTACAATTGACACCTAATACAAACTCTTTCTTTTTTGTAAATAATAATGGACAAAATCAACTAATACTTTTCAACAATTTAACATATTCCAATCTTGGTCATGTGTATTTTGATGGAGATTTTAAAATTAAGTAAAAAGTATTGTAAGATATTAAATAGTTTACCTCTTATGTGTATCTTGATAGACTCCCCCAATCATAATTCATAGAAAGAGGGTGGACCTACAATAATACTTTTACTCAATGTTTTAAAACCTGGATGGTTAGGGCTCGGAACGTTCACCCATAGATCCTTATGGGATCGTTGGATTAGTGATCTGGATTGAATATGGCTCTATCTGAATCGGTGATAAAAAAATATTGAAAATAAATAAAATAAAATAAAGGGCGAGGTTTATACAAGATGTCTTCTTTATACTATTGAAGGTATGACATACCTCTAAATTTTGCTTGGCGATATTGTTCCTGTTTCGAAAATCTGATGACTTGAAAATTTATTTTCATCCTTAGTTATGAAATTTAAAATTTTAAAAATAACAAAGATCAAGCTCATTGACAAACATTTAAAAATCTTACAAAAAAAAATAGAGTAGATAACTTATTGCGAGATACTTTATTCTTAAAATTAATTAGTTTTTTTCTCATATCAATACATCACATGGTTAAGATAATTAATGAGAGGATTTTTCAACATCGTAACTCTCTCTTCTAGATTGACTTCTGAAGTGCACCATAATTCAATTGCATAAGGTAGAGATACCTTATACATTAGCTTTTTCCTTAAACAATAATTAAATTAGGGATTTATAGAGCGGAAAGAATCGGCCGGTACTTATATCATCCCCGAACCGGTTCGTCCTCATTGGTACACATCCAAACAAGCGATCCGGATTGGAAATTGCCGGGTTTGCTTATGTATGTGTTCCGTAACCATGTGCACATGGTCATGCATGCATGACTCATGCTCATATGATGCAAACATGACGCACAAACCCTGCTACCTCAGCTCTAGGGCTTGGCGAGGCTACGTGCACACCTTATTAAACACTCTCTCTCTCTCTCTCTCTCTNNNCCTCTCTCTCTCTCTCTCTCTCTCTCTCTCTCTCTACTACTCTCTCTACTCTACTCTCTCTACTACTCTACTAC